ATGAACAAGGACCTGATAGACAAGGACCTGATGGACGCCCTGATGGACAAGGACCTGATGAACAAGGACCTGATGGACAAGGACCTGATAGACAAGGACCTGATGGACAAGGACCTGATGAACAAGGACCTGATAGACAAGGACCTGATGGACAAGGACCTGATAGACAAGGACCTGATAGACAAGGACCTGATGAACAAGGACCTGATGGACAAGGACCTGATAGACAAGGACCTGATGGACAAGGACCTGATAGACAAGAACCTGATGGACAAGGACCTGATAGACAAGGACCTGATGAACAAGGACCTGATGAACAAGGACCTGATGAACAAGGACCTGATAGACAAGGACCTGATGAACAAGGACCTGATAGACAAGGACCTGATGGACAAGGACCTGATAGACAAGAACCTGATGGACAAGGACCTGATAGACAAGGACCTGATGAACAAGGACCTGATGAACAAGGACCTGATGAACAAGGACCTGATGAACAAGGACCTGATGAACAAGGACCTGATGAACAAGGACCTGATGAACAAGGACCTGATAGACAAGGACCTGATGGACAAGGACCTGATGGACAAGGACCTGATGGACAAGGACCTGATGGACAAGAACCTGATGGACAAGAACCTGATGGACAAGGACCTGATGAACAAGGACCTGATAGACAAGGACCTGATAGACAAGGACCTGATGGACAAGGACCTGATGGACAAGGACCTGATGGACAAGAACCTGATGGACAAGAACCTGATGGACAAGGACCTGATGAACAAGGACCTGATGAACAAGGAGCCGAAATACAAGGGTGGAAGCTGGAGCTTCAGATGATATCTATCTGGATATCTAATCTCCAGACGAGCTGTACTGTGTGAGAATATATACCGTCAATGTCAGACTAAAGAGCTATATATAATATGTACAACCACTAACAAATGACCAAGACAGGAAAACCCAAGACCCGGAGCTGAAGCTCAACCATGGAGACTCAACAAGGTGAGCTCAACAAATAAAGTAAATTACTGGAAAAAATATATCATAACTTTGTTTTATCTCTCTCTCTCTCTCTCTCTCTCTCTCTCTCTCTCTCTCTCTCTCTCTCTCTCTCTCAACCTGTTCTTCCCATCATCCTCTAAAAGCCTAGAGATTACACACGAATTTCTAATGGATCTTTCATCAAGTCATTTTAGCTAAGCATCTTAGCCAAGACAGACATGAATAAGTAACTAGGATCAGGAAGCATTTAATTCTTCTTTTGCATCTAAGATGATTGAAGAATCTTTGAGGTCACTGGAATATTATTTTTCCTCCTTTATATTTAGAAGGGGAAAAAAGATATTTCTAAAGACAGGGATTCGAGGTTGAAGAGGGATATGAGGTAGGGAATTTGAAATCAATTTATGACACGGTAGGGAAAAAAAGATTCAACAGGGATGAAAAAAAAATGAAGAGTGGAATGAAGTAGAAAGGGAGTTTAAGGTGGAAAGGTGAGATTAAAGAGAGATGAAAATGAAGGAGGAAAGAGTAGAGACCTGACCTGACCTGACTTGACCTGACCTGACCTGACTTGACCTGACCTGACATGTCTAAACCAACCCTAACAGGAGGTGGTCAGGAACCTCTTGTTCGAGCCCCAACCCTCCAAAATCATCTTGTTTTTTTGTATGGACACAATTTCAATGGCTTCGAATGCCACATATATTTTTTTATTTCGTGGAGAATATCGATCACCTTGAGAGCAATATCCAACACTTAGAGAGCAATATCCCACACTTGGAGAGCAATATCCCACACTTAGAGAGCAATATCCCACACTTAGAGAGCAATATCCCACACTTAGACAGCAATATCCAACACTTAGAGAGTAATATCCAACACTTAGAGAGTAATATCCCACACTTAGAGAGTAATATCCAACACTTAGAGAGTAATATCCAACACTTAGAGAGTAATATCCAACACTTAGAGAGTAATATCCAACACTTAGAGAGTAATATCCAACACTTAGAGAGTAATATCCAACACTTAGAGAGTAATATCCCACACTTAGAGAGTAATATCCAACACTTAGAGAGTAATATCCAACACTTAGAGAGTAATATCCAACACTTAGAGAGTAATATCCAACACTTAGAGAGTAATATCCAACACTTAGAGAGTAATATCCAACACTTAGAGAGTAATATCCAACACTTAGAGAGCAATATCCAACACTTAGAGAGTAATATCCCACACTTAGAGAGTAATATCCCACACTTAGAGAGCAATATCCCACACTTAGAGAGTAATATCCAACACTTAGAGAGCAATATCCCACACTTAGAGAGTAATATCCAACACTTAGAGAGCAATATCCCACACTTAGAGAGTAATATCCCACACTTAGAGAGTAATATCCAACACTTAGAGAGTAATATCCAACACTTAGAGAGTAATATCCAACACTTAGAGAGCAATATCCAACACTTAGAGAGTAATATCCCACACTTAGAGAGTAATATCCAACACTTAGAGAGTAATATCCCACACTTAGAGAGTAATATCCAACACTTAGAGAGTAATATCCAACACTTAGAGAGTAATATCCCACACTTAGAGAGCAATATCCCACACTTAGACAGCAATATCCCACACTTAGAGAGCAATATCCCACACTTAGAGAGCAATATCCCACACTTAGACAGCAATATCCCACACTTAGACAGCAATATCCCACACTTAGAGAGCAATATCCAACACTTAGACAGCAATATCCCACACTTAGAGAGCAATATCCCACACTTAGACAGCAATATCCCACACTTAGAGAGCAATATCCCACACTTAGACAGCAATATCCCACACTTAGAGAGCAATATCCCACACTTAGAGAGCAATATCCCACACTTAGAGAGCAATATCCCACACCTCAAGGTGAAGACATCCACCTTTCACAATCAAACTTTAATGTTTTTGAGAAATCTTAAGTTTCTTCATATTATTAATTTAATGAGACGAGAGAAAAAAAATTTTCAACGTTGCCTTTTCAACGACGATAAGTTCCTTTTCCTCGTTCATCAACGATTATAATTGTTCCTTGTCCTCGTTAGCTCGTTAGTCGTTAAGTTTCGTTTAATCTTGTTTTATTTTTTACAGTGCACGTTCGTCAACGGTTCTAATCCTACGTTCAACAACGGGTCTCTTACGTTCAACAACAGGTCTCTTACGTTCAACAACGGGTCTCTTACGTTCAACAACGGGTCTCTTACGTTCAACAACGGGTCTCCCTCTTACGTTCAACAACGGGTCTCTTACGTTCAACAACGGGTCTCTTACGTTCAACAACGGGTCTCTTACGTTCAACAACGGGTCTCTTACGTTCAACAACGGGTCTCCCTCTTACGTTCAACAACGGGTCTCTTACGTTCAACAACGGGTCTCTTACGTTCAACAACGGGTCTCTTACGTTCAACAACGGGTCTCCCTCTTACGTTCAACAACGGGTCTCACTCTTACGTTCAACAACGGGTCTCACTCTTACGTTCAACAACGGGTCTCTTACGTTCAACAACGGGTCTCTTACGTTCAACAACGGGTCTCTTACGTTCAACAACGGGTCTCACTCTTACGTTCAACAACGGGTCTCCCTCTTACGTTCAACAACGGGTCTCCCTCTTACGTTCAACAACGGGTCTCCCTCTTACGTTCAACAACGGGTCTCCCTCTTACGTTCAACAACGGGTCTCCCTCTTACGTTCAACAACGACTCTCACTCTTACGTTCAACAACGGGTCTCCCTCTTACGTTCAACAACGGGTCTCCCTCTTACGTTCAACAACGGGTCTCACTCTTACGTTCAACAACGGGTCTCACTCTTACGTTCAACAACGGGTCTCTTACGTTCAACAACGGGTCTCACTCTTACGTTCAACAACGGGTCTCTTACGTTCAACAACGGGTCTCTTACGTTCAACAACGGGTCTCTTACGTTCAACAACGGGTCTCACTCTTACGTTCAACAACGGGTCTCCCTCTTACGTTCAACAACGGGTCTCTTACGTTCAACAACGGGTCTCCCTCTTACGTTCAACAACGGGTCTCACTCTTACGTTCAACAACGGGTCTCACTCTTACGTTCAACAACGGGTCTCACTCTTACGTTCAACAACGGGTCTCACTCTTACGTTCAACAACGGGTCTCTTACGTTCAACAACGGGTCTCTTACGTTCAACAACGGGTCTCTTACGTTCAACAACGGGTCTCACTCTTACGTTCAACAACGGGTCTCACTCTTACGTTCAACAACGGGTCTCTTACGTTCAACAACGGGTCTCTTACGTTCAACAACGGGTCTCCCTCTTACGTTCAACAACGGGTCTCTTACGTTCAACAACGGGTCTCCCTCTTACGTTCAACAACGGGTCTCCCTCTTACGTTCAACAACGGGTCTCCCTCTTACGTTCAACAACGGGTCTCCCTCTTACGTTCAACAACGGGTCTCCCTCTTACGTTCAACAACGGGTCTCCCTCTTACGTTCAACAACGGGTCTCTTACGTTCAACAACGGGTCTCACTCTTACGTTCAACAACGGGTCTCTTACGTTCAACAACGGGTCTCTTACGTTCAACAACGGGTCTCACTCCACATTCCCCAAAAAATTCTGTCCATTTACTGTTTCCCGTTCAGGTCCTCCCGTTCCACCAAACAAATTTACACGAGGCGAGCCGGAGTAAACAAATTTACACGAGGCGAGCCGGGGTAAACAATTTACACCGTGATGTAAATATACCGTCACCTCTGCCAGGACGCTTAAACTGTAATTGCCTCGTTAAATACCAGTACGTTAACCGCGGAAGAACTACCTACTACCACCTACTGCCATCTACTACTACCACCTACTACCACCTTCTACCACCTACTACCACCTACTACCACCTACTACCACCTACTACCACCTACTACCACCTACTACCCCCATATCCCACCCCAACCCAAACCGGTTTTAAATGTTAGTGTTGGAAAACTTGCTTCTTAATGACCATGAACAGGCTGGCAGGCAGGCTGGCAGTCAGTCAGTCAGTCAGTCAGTCAGTCAGTTAGTCAATCGGTTGGTTGGTTGGGGGGGAGGGAGAGAGAGAGAGAGAGAGAGAGAGAGAGAGAGAGAGAGAGAGAGAGAGAGAGAGAGAGAGAGAGAGAGAGAGAGAGAGAGAGAGAGAGAGAGAGAGAGAGAGAGAGAGAGAGAGCGAGAGAGAGCGAGAGAGAGCGAGAGAGCGAGAGAGAGCGAGAGAGAGAGCGAGAGAGAGCGAGAGAGAGCGAGAGAGAGCGAGAGAGAGCGAGAGAGAGCGAGAGAGAGCGAGAGAGAGCGAGAGAGAGCGAGATAGAGAGAGAGAGCGAGAGAGAGCGAGAGAGAGCGAGAAAGAGCGAGAGAGCGAGATAGAGCGAGAGAGAGCGAGAGAGCGAGAGTCAGGCAGTCTTTTGTCGATTATTCTGAGTAATTTTCATAGCTTTGAGAGTCAGAAACCCCAGAAATAACCATAATTTCAATACAATTAAGCAGTCACAGTAATTACAATCCTACCAAAGACAATTATACTCGATTGTGGCTCTGCATTTATCTGGGGCCTGGAATGGGTTAATTAATTACAAGCATATATCAAAATGTTTTTTTTTTAATTTGAAATGCGTTTAATTAGAAACCAGAGGAAAGCATTATAAACAAGGAGGCGACGAAGGCTGTCTAAGATGGGCAGTAATCTTTAGAAATTATTCCCAGGAAGGATTATTTTCTCGTAATTAGAAATTCCTGGAATAGTGGAGTTCACCATTCAAAATAATGGCGAAACAGCTGAT